GCTGGCAAGAACGTTGCAGTCCTCCATCACTGAAGCAAGCAAGCCTCATTTTCAGTTTAAGCTTCCTGGCTGCCGGCTGCCATCTTGGCTGACAGTTAATTTGCTTATCGCCCCTGATTAGTCAATGGGAAGGGTAGCGGTTGTACGCCAATTACCATGTTTCTCTTTTAGTATAGATTTCTGATTTCAGAGAGAGGAAGGGAGAGGGAGAGATAAATAGAAACATTAATGATGAGAGAGAATCGTTGATCAGCTGCCCCGTCCATGCCCCCTATTGGGGGTCTAGCCCACAACCTGGGCAAGTGCTCTGACCAGGAATCAAACCATGACCTCCTGGTTCATGGGTCGATGTCCAACCACTGAGCCACACTAGCCGGGCTAGCCCCTGCTTTTGCTGCTGACTAATTGTGTGACTTTGGGCAAGTTACCCAGCCTCTCTGTGCCTCAGTTTCCCAGCTGTGAAGTGACTGTCATCTCACAGAGCACCTGACTCACGGGGTGTAGTGAGGAGGGACAGGCCCCTCCAGGGCAGTGCTGCTGCACCCCGCGTCCACGCAGATGGAGTGTGGCAGCGGCGATGCCATCCTGTGGAAGTGGAGGATGGTGGGAAGTACGCGAGGCTTGGCGTCAGGAGACTGGGTCCAGGTCCCAGTGCTACCATTTGCCTGTGTCAGGGTACAGATTCCGAACCTCAGAGGGCCTCCGTTTTCATAGCTGGAGAACTGGGGGCTGAAACCCTATCTCCCGCCAGGGTGGTGGTGCAGAGCCAGGGGAGCAGTGCTGGCAAAGGGCTTCACCCCCACACACCGGACTAAGCCTGTTCTCTCTCCCCTTCCCAGGCACACATTCTGGCAGTTCCGCCATGAGAACCCCAAGACCCGGGTCGGGGGCCCGCCTCCCGAGGGGCTCCCTGGCTTCAACAGCGGGGTGATGCTGCTGCACCTGGAGGCCATGCGCCAGTCCCCGCTCTACGGCCGCCTGCTGGAGCCGGCGCAGGTGCAGCAGCTGGCCGACAAGTACCACTTCCGAGGCCACCTCGGGGACCAGGACTTCTTCACCATGATCGGCATGGAGCACCCCGAGCTCTTCCATGTGCTGGACTGCACCTGGAACCGGCAGCTCTGCACCTGGTGGAGGGACCACGGCTACAGTGACGTCTTCGAGGCCTACTTCCGGTGCGAGGGCCACGTCAGGATCTACCACGGGAACTGCAACACCCCTATCCCGGAGGTCTAGGTACATGCTCCCCTGCCTTGCTCTTCAGATCTGGGGGAAGGGGAGGAGCGGGTGCCTCTGGGACAGGCCCCCAGGTGGTATCTGAACCCCTTGAGAGACACTGCAGGGAGGTCCTCTGTGATCAGGTGCTGCAGCTCTTCCACTGTGGGCCACTGTCCTGAGGCCGCCCAGCGGGAGTGGCCTGCACATTGCTGGTGCTTGGGGACTTTTCCCTCCAGGGGACAGGCATCAGGAAAGGCAGGCACGGAGACCTCTTCCCGGGGGGCTAGGGAGCCGGTGTTGGAAGAGAAGGAAGGGAAGAAAACAGTGCCCTTTGCCTTCAGCCTCCAGAGAATGGAAATCCTTTTAAGAACAGGCCTTCCTTGGACAAAATATAAATTGATTTTAAATTGACAGGCTTCCATTTTGAGAGAAAGAACAAACAGAACTTCTGCAGCTCCCAGTGAGCCAGAGCTGGCCCGGATTTTAAGCATTCAAACGGAGGCGACCTCCCACGCGTGCCCCCAGGAGGCTGCACTCACGCCCAGGATGCTCACGTTGCCTGCTGCAGGGGTGAAGACCGCCGCCGCCTCTTGGGAGAGGGCCTTCAGTGCCAGCGGTGGCCCACATCCCAAAGCTGGTCTCCTTACACGGCTTCGCAGCTCTCACCTCCCAGCTGCGTCACAGACCTCTGCATCCCCTGTTCGGCTGGGCCAGCTCCAGGGGACGAGACTGTGCTCAGAAATCAAATCCGTCATCAAAGAACAGAGGTCGGCCACCCCCGAAGGCATGCAATGGGGTTGTCTGGGCTGGGAAGACTCATTCCTTCCAACGAGGAGCCCAGCCGTGCTCGCGTGTGACCACGTGGCTCGGTCGGGCTGGTGCTCCGAGGCCTGTAAGCATTCCAGTCTCTGTTTAGAACACCCTCCTCCAGACTTTCCCACTGCACAGGTCAGACCTGCCCCTTAGAAGCATTCAGGCTGTTTTTAAAGTCCTTCTAGTGAGTTCTCCTGCAGGGGAGCCGCACACAGGACGCTCCTCCGGGCCCACTGCGCGGAGTCCAGCTGAAGTCCTTGGGGAAGACATGTTGCTGGATTTTCATCTTATTTTATTTCAGTTTCATTTACTTTTTTATTTCCTTTCATCGTGAGTGAGAATAGCGAATAAATAATCTTCAAGAACACAGTTTATTTATGTTGTTTGTGCTGTGCTCACAGCTTTCCGTTACACGAAGGTCCTGTATCGAAATCGAGAGTCATCCGTGTGGCTCAGACTCCCGCTCTGCAGGACTGAGCTGAGTGAGCGGTCCCCGAGGGCTGAGGGAGAGCTTATCTGGGAGAGGGTGGGAGGGTGGGATTGTTACGTCGAGAATCATTTTATTCTGGATGTTGGCAGGCCCTTCTGCTCCTGGGAACAAAAACAACCGCATCCTTTCTCATTCTCCTTCCCCCAAACTATCCCTTGACATCATCCCCTGACGAAGTGGAGCACAGTTCTCTCTTAACTCAGCTCCGACAGAATCGGTCTGTTCCCTGAGGCGCTTGGTTTCCTATTTATAGCTTTCAGTCATCGAATGCCTGCCATGTACCAAGCATTGCATTGGGGATTTATATACACCATCAGTAATACTCATGAGTACCTCGCGAAGGTAATTAAAATTCTAAATTTACTGTAAGAAAATAATGAGTGCTGTGGACAGAGAGTCACTGTCACAGCTTTTTTCTATAATAGAAAAAATTGGGGCCAAGTTAAAATGTTGACTGGGGAAGAGATAAATAATGTATGTTACATCCATATAATGGAATACTTAGGCATTAAAAATCATATTTTTGATTTTATGTACTGGAAAATGTTTACAATATGCTATTAAGTAAAGAATAGAAAATATAGATGATATGTACAGTATGTTCCTAATTTTATTTTTAAAATTACATGTGTGTATGTGTGTGTATATAAAAAGAGAGCCGGTTCTGCTTTATTTTATTAGTTAAACTCTTAAAAAACCATGTGTTTCAAATACCATAGTTTTAAAAAAAAAACCAGTTATCTCAATGGAGGAAAAAAAGTGGACAAAATGCTAGAGCATTAGACTCACAATAACAAAGGTATTTTTCCTGAAATAATTTCAATAATTAAAGTGTTTCTATAGCTCTGAGTGTCGTTTATTGCAAGGGAAAAACAATAGACTAGTTGATCTAAATGGGCAAAAGCCCAATAAATTTTCCGTATTTGTTTTTGAGATCACCAACTCAGGAGCTTTCCCCTCCTCTGTCGCCAGTGGGCTTGACCTTACAACTTCACGGTAAGCAACACAGTCGCCCCACAGGAAACCCAGTCAGACCAGCAAAGCCGCCGTGTGCGCCTGTGTTTTCACGAGCAGCCTTCCGGCAGATCCTGGCAGGCTGGTTCCTGATCGGATCCTGTTACAGGCAGGGCAGCACACGCGTACTCACTGTGCTGTGTTTAATTTGTCTCATAAAAATGTCACTGTAGCGCATATGCCTGTAGCAGTCAGAAAAGAGAACATTTCTGGGTAGTGGGATTAAGGTGCTTTTTATCTCCATCTGTATTTACTTCTATATTTCCCATAGTGAAATTAATTACTTTTATAATAAAAAAAAATACATGCTATAAAATGTTAGTCACCCACCTTTCCCCCAATTACAGGTAAGAACACTCTGGCCACTTTACAGCTTGCGGTTGGCATGGTTACCACCACCCATGAGAAAACATAATCCCAGCTAAGTAGGCTCTGGGTTTCCAGCCTTCCCTATGGATGCCCCAATTCTCTAAGTACAAGTGACCTATAATAGCATTTCCAGACTCTGCTCTCACTTCTGATACCATCATCTTTTGTGTGTATACAAATAATGATGGCCTTTGGAGAGCTCGTGGCTTGTGGATGGGATTCATTCTTGAATAGTTGTCAAAACCAAACTACAGCATCCCCTGCAGTAGCATCTCATCAAGCCAGGAGTGGCGTGCTGGCTCAGCGGGCCCCCACCCAGAGTGCCCGGCGTTTGTGGTTAAGGGAGCAAGTGCAGCTGTGACTCAGCATCTGCTTAAATGAAAGGCCAAACTTCTGCTCATTCTAACACCGCCTGGCCTCCTGGCTGACCTCAGCAAGGGAGGCCCAGAGACGGGGCTGAACGTGGAGTATGGCAGGACCAGCAGAGTTTTCTGAGAAGGCAAGGTGGTGTGGTAGAGAGACCCTTGCACCTAAGACAGAGGCCTGGCTTTGAGTTCACCTTCTGCCCTCCCTACTTGGACAACCTCGGTCAAGCAAGGTCACCTCTTGCCCCATTTGTAGACATTAGTAAGGACTCCCTCAAAGGAGTGTTGGAAACTAACCAGAAAACAGTGTAAGGGCTTGGGAGTTTACTGGGGTAACGTAGCTTAATAACATTATGTAAGCGTAAAGTGTACATTCTCTAATACATCACCTGTAGCCTCTGTTGTGTGCTTCCACCCAAAGTCTGGTCTCCTTTTATCACCACATATCTGACGCCCTTTACTCTCTTTATCCTCCTCGCCCCACCCCCCTCCCTTCTGGCAACCACCATCCTGCTGTCTGTGTCTATGAGTATGTTTAAAGTATTATTTATTCTTTTAAAATAATAAATGACAGCCATTTGGGCACATGAACTGTTGGTGACATCTCCCTAGACCCAGGCACTTGCTTGTAGGCTGCCCTGCCTTGTGGCTATCTGCACATTGGCCTCGCCATCTACATGGTCTGTGAGCTCCTTGAGGACGGAGACCTTGCAGTGTCACCTCGACATGGCCCCCAGCTCCTGCTCAGGCCCAGCACAGTTCAGGGAGCAAGTGCAGCAGAGATTTAGCAAGGGGAGCAATGTTCCCTGGGTGCTCATGCTGGTCTGCTGTTTGATATGGGGTGTGGGTGAAGCCAGAGGCCCCAATACTTCCCTTCCACCTTTTCTCTCCACTTCCTGCACACCTTTTTTAATAACCTCAGGCATAGAGGGTTGAGTACCCTCCTCAATCCATGACCCATCCACCCCTGCTTCCCATTAGGCCCCTCTCGCATTTATTTAATAACCTCAGGCATAGAGGGTTGAGTACCCCTCCTCAATCCATGACCCATCCACCCTTGCTTCCCATTAGGCCCCTCTCGCATTTTATTTATTCACTAGAGGCCCGGTGCACGAAATTTGTGCACGGGTAGGGTCCCTAGGCCTGGCCAGCGATCAAGGCCCATCTGTGGGGCGGTGGGCAGGGTGATTGTGGGCCCCCACTTGCACCCGCCTTGGCTGGCCTGGGGCCGCCTACTCAATGGCCCCGCCTACCACCACCACTGCTAGTCAGTGCCTGTGGGCGGGGGCAGCTCCTGCGTTGAGTGTCTACCCCCTGGTGGTCAGTGCATGTCATAGCGACCAGTCATTCGGCCATTTAGTCGATTTGCATATTAGGGTTTTATATAGATAGATTCCCATTCACCACCATATCCCACTCCCATCTCCCAATGCACAGTCATTCTAATCTGCTTACTTGTTAACTTTCTGTGTTCTTTCAAAATGAGATTGTGTTTGTATGTGTTTTAGTTGGGGTAACTCTTAGAGTTTCTCATGTTCCTTTATTCGGCGCTGTGTGGCTGAGGCCCCTCCCCGTGATTGTCGCTGCTGCCCTTACTCTGTGGTGTGCTCCTGCCACAGTCCGCCTGCCCTCATCCACACTGATGGAAACCCACATGACCTGCCACTCACCTACTCACACCCGCTCCCACCAAGTGACCCTGCCATGGACAGCCTTGCCCCGGGTCCTTGTGGACCTGCTCAGAATGTCCTTGTCTTGTTAATCCAGGAATTAAACTGCTGGGTGTAAGACGTGCAGATACCCGCACTTCTACCTAAGTGTTGCCAGTTGCTCCTCAGGGCGGTCGAGCCCTCACTTTCACTGCATGATTGCTCAGGTTCACATGTGTCTGGGCGTTGACACACATGTGGACCTATGATCATTATGGAGTCCTCCAAAACGTGTGGCCAGAGTTAGAGCTGCTCTGTGTGTGGTATCACGTTGCCTTGGAAAGAGGCTGGGGCTCTGGGTTCTGGTCCTGACCTCACTATGACCTTGGCCAGCGGGCCCAGTTCTGTGAAAATGGGAGAGTTTTGGTTCCTGGCCTTGCCGCCCTGGGGCAGCTGTGATAGTGGGTAAGATAACTCACAGGAAAGGACTTCCAAGGCCCTAGCTCCCATGCACTGCCGCCCGTCCCCGGTGCCACAAGTGCTGTCATGCAAGTGCTCCCAGCTTCCTCTACGGAAGCTCTGCCACCAGCCCCAGCCCTGCCCAGGGGCATGTCCTAGCCATCTGGCCCCACACCCGAGCTGCCCCCAGGGTAGAACCCCGTGTATCCCCATTAGGGCATCCTGCCCTCTCTCAGAAAGGCCTCCTCTCTCACACCCAGGCCGCCAACCTTCTGACTGTCAGCCAGCCAGGGCCTGGCACTTTCCAGAGCATAAAATGTCTTACACAAAGTGCAAGGCCATGACCGAGTTTCTGCAGAATGTCCATGCTCGCAGGGCATGCCGTCAGGGGCCTAGCAATCTGTTCGAGCAGCAGTCTGAGCCAGAAAGTGGCAGAAATGTCAATAACCTCCCAAGGCTACGTGAACACGCTTTGAAACACGTAAGTCCTTGTTCACAGCCACGGGCAGGCAGCTTCGTGGCAAACTTGGGTCCATCTCATCCTGTGCCGCCTTTCAGGAGAACCAACCTTGCTCTAAGCCTGAAGCCATGCCAGCTCTCCCTGCAGGCATCCCTCTGGGTGCCTCTGTGGTCTCTCCCCACCTGCCTGCCTGCCCTGGCCCAGGAGTGCCAGGGCCTGCTCCAAGGAGAGCCGGAGTGAGGCTTCCAGAACCTGCGGGCACGTGGAGGTGGGAGGAAGCATAAGAGATGGTGACCCTTGTGGCCCGGGCTATGGATGGGATCACCTTTTCTCTCAAGAAAGACAAATACAGGTTGGCCTGGCTCTTTTACTAAGTTTGACTGCAGCGCTGCAGGTCATTCGTTGGATGCCACAAAAACCTGAGACTGGAGGGGCCAGGGGGTTTGCTGCACAGACACCACTGCAATCCTGCCTCGTCCATCATCCAACGCCTGTCTTCTGTGCGCTCCGTGAAGGCAGGAGCTCTGGCCTCTGTGTGCTCCCAGCACCTGAAGGCGCCTGGCAGGCG